GCCAGTTCGCACTCACTTTTCCATCTTAAGGTGCTGGAGTCGCTTTTACATCAGGTCTAGGCAGCCTTCTCTTTGCAAACAGAGATTGTTTGCTTGGACTTGCTGTGATGCGATTCTAGCAGCTTGGTTGGTATAATTTTTATATATATATTTTTCTTTTCCTTCCCTGTCCATTCATTCATGTCACCCATGACAGACTTTTTCTTTTCCTCATAATCTAAATTCCCCGTTAACAGTTCTGACGAGAGGGGACGAAACCGGTCGACTGTTGTGTTTTATTTTAAACTTATCATGGCCTACAATACTACATTTCTAGTTTTTAATGCCTTAATATATATATATATATATATATATATATATATATATATATATATATTGATCCAGTTATGAAAGTTTATGCGCTAATCTTAAGTGGCATTTAAGACCTGCTAGAGATTTACAAAGGAGGCCATATATGGAGCAAGTGTGAGGATTGCGAGATGAGATCACTGTTAGATTGGTTGACCATTTAGATCTTTTTCTCGCTTCTTGAAGATGATTCAGACATGCAGATTGAAAATTGCTGAGTCCACTAAAACACGTTGATCTCCATTCTATCCGCTCCAAAGTTAAGCGCTCAAGGGTGTTATGTGGTATATTAACTGCTGACAAGTTGCTTTTCAGCTTGTCTTTGTATCTTAGACATGGGCGTCCTACATTCCTGTAGCCCTGATCTAACTGATATATATATATATATATATATATATATATATATATATATATATATATATATATAGGCAGCATATCTTCATCCAAGCATGTTTGGGTGAATAAGGTGGACATATTATGTATATTTATTTTATTTTAATCCTCTCAAATTCATGGATCAATTTCTTAATGCTGTTATTAAATTCATTAAGGACGGCATCGTAGTTGTTTTAATTTCTTTTGTTTTCCTAAGCAGTTTCAATCTAATCCAAGATCATCTTCAGGAGTGAATTGCTAAGTCAAAAAATTAAGGTAACTGATATGTGTGATTTTTTTTTTTTTTTGTAAATTCGCATGAAACGCGCTCATATGCAGCATAAATTTGTCCAAGCACGTTAGATTGAATAATCTGGACATATTATGTCTATCTATTTCATTTTAATCCTCTAAAATTCACGGATCAATTTATTAATGTTGCTATTAAATTCATTAAGGAAGGCACTGTAGTGTGTTTTTTTAGTTTTTTTTTTATTTTCCTAAGTACTTTTAATCACATCTAAGATCATCTTTAGTTAATTGTTAAGACAAAATATTAATGCAATTGATGACTAAGAATTTTTTGTAAATGCGCAGGAACGCGCTCAGATATAATCAATTTAAAGAATTAACTGTTATCTAAGGGAGGTAACTTTAATTTACATTTGTAATTTTTTAGATTACAATTTACGTATTTTAAAAAATCATTGATGTTATAATTGTAATCTTTTTAAAAAAATTACAATTTAAGTATTTTAAAACATTGCTTTACAGACATTGTAAAACATTTTTGCTATACTCTAGTGTTAGTTATACTTTTTATATTGAAGGCTTTAAGTATAAGAAGTTTTTCACTTTTATTTTCATGGTGGCGTAAACGTGTATTGACAAAATTTCTCTACATCGTGAATGTGGACAGCAATGTTCATTTAAACATTGCAATGTAAGTCTCCTCTATAAACTTTTTGTGAAAACAACATATGTATATACTTTTTTGTCAGAGATACAATCTCTCAAAAGACAATTAAATTGATATACAATATAGGTTTTTTTGCAAAACACTAGTTGACGGAGAAGAGTTATTGCGTATGATTAAGTTGGTTGTATTAAATTTAGTAGTGTATGTAATTAGTTTTCTACTTTTTACTGGGATCGATGGGGGATATATTAGTACTTATAAGGTTTTTTTTAGCATTTATTCGTTTTGTTTATAGTTAGAGTGTACTTGATTGCGGTATAGTACGATGCTATGTTTAGAGTTATTCAGGGAAGTATTCAATTCTTTTTGATTTATGTTAATATTTGAAATAGCTCGTCTAATTTGTTCATCAAAAATGTAATTAAGAAAGTCATTATTAATGAGAGTTTAATATTTTTAATTCAGTGTAGAAAATTTTTCAGGAATACTGAACAATCTCCTCCCAGATAAAAAAAGAGACAAACAACAGAAATGTGGTTCTACAGAAGGATGCTGACCATATGAGAAACGCCGAAGTTTTAGAGAATATGAAAACAAAAATAATACACTTATATTTAACATCAGGAAATGAGGAAAGAAGGCTTGGGAAATTTGGCACCCATAGGACATACTGAAGTCAAAAGGGACAATAGAAAGTAGCGTAATACCTATTTAACGATGTTATATAAATAGATGATAGTACTGGTTTAGGAGACGAAGCATAAAGAAAAAAATACTATTTTTATATTTTTATATTTTGACACTAGTTTGAGGATTCACTATTTGTCCCTAGTTGGGCCCCTAACATGTGCTACGAACCCGGGCCAGCGCGGACCTGGGAACAACAGTAATTAAGAGGTACACACTCCTCAAAACATTCCGATCAGAGGCCTTGCTCCCGGATGTAGTTTATCGCCATACCCAGGACGAATGTGACTTGGAAGCCTTATTCATCAGAATGTTTTTTTTCAAAACTAATAACACTTTAAAATATAATGAATTAATTTTTTTTTTCTTTTTTATCTTTCCCTTCAATATTCTTATCTCTACACAACCTCGACATTCTTTTATTTTCTTTTTTTTTTCTATTTCTTTTTCTTCTTCTTTTACTTCTCTCACACTTGCCGTCTTTTCTTCTGTTACATATTTTCCTTCTTTATCTTTCTTCTCTGTCTTCTTTATCCCCTTTTCCTATTTTCTACGTCTTCTTTTACTTATTTCATTCTTTTTTCCTTTTCCTCTTTTTCCATCTATTTTTCTTACTCTTTCCTTCTTTTTGTTTCTGCTGTCTTTGTTTCTTCTTTTACGTATCTCACTCATTTCTTCAACTTTTTTCTTTCACGTTTTCGTTCTTTACTTCTTATTCTTTCTTTCCGTTTTTTCTTTCTACTTTTCGCAACACCTTTTTCTTTATTCTAAGTTTTTTTCTCTTCTTTTACATATCTCTCTCATTCCTCCTTTTTTTTCTTTCCTCCCACACTTTTTCTTTTATTTCTCTCATTCCTTCCCTCATTTTTTGTTCCCTCTCTTCTATTTTCCTTCTATTTTTTCTATCCTTCAATTCTTTCTTCTATGTCATTTTTCTTCTTTTTCTTCTTTTTCTTCTTTTTCTTTCTTCTATGTCATTTTCTTCTTTTTCTTTCTTCTATGTCATTTTTCTTCTTTTTCGTCTTTTTCTTTCTTCTATGTCATTTTCTTCTTTTTCTTCTTTTTCTTTCTTCTATGTCATTTTTCTTCTTTTTCTTCTTTTTCTTCTTTTTCTTTCTTCTATGTCATTTTCTTCTTTTTCTTCTTTTTCTTTCTTCTATGTCATTTTTCTTCTTTTTCGTCTTTTTCTTTCTTCTATGTCATTTTTCTTCTTTTTCTTCTTTTTCTTTCTTCTATGTCATTTTTCTTCTTTTTTTCTTTTTCTTTCTTCTATGTCATTTTTCTCTTTTTTTTTCTTTTTCTTTCTTCTATGTCATTTTTCTTCTTTTTTTCTTTTTCTTTCTTCTATGTCATTTTTCTTCTTTTTCGTCTTTTTCTTTCTTCTATGTCATTTTTCTTCTTTTTCTTCTTTTTCTTCTTTTTCTTTCTTCTATGTCATTTTTCTTCTTTTTCGTCTTTTTCTTTCTTCTATGTCATTTTTCTTCTTTTTCGTCTTTTTCTTTCTTCTATGTCATTTTTCTTCTTTTTCTTCTTTTTCTTTCTTCTATGTCATTTTTCTCTTTTTTTTTCTTTTTCTTTCTTCTATGTCATTTTTCTTCTTTTTCTTCTTTTTCTTTCTTCTATGTCATTTTTTGTTCTTTTTTTTTTCTCTTTCTTTCTTCTATGTCTTTTTTTCTTCTTTTTTTCTTTTTTTCTTCTATGTCATTTTTTCTTTTTTTTCTTTTTCTTTCTTCTATGTCTTTTTTTTTTTTTTTTCGTTTTTTTCTTCTTTCTATGTCATTTTTCTTCTTTTTTTTTTTTTCTTCTTTTCTTTCTTCTATGTCATTTTTTCTTCTTTTCGTCATTTTTCTTTCTTCTATGTCATTTTTTTCTTTTTCGTCTTTTTCTTTCTTCTATGTCATTTTTTTCTTCTTTTTTTTTTTTTCTTTCTTCTTTCATTTTCTTCTTTTATCGTCTTTTTTTCTTTCTTTTTCTTCTTTTTTTTCTTTTTCTTTCTTCTATGTCATTTTTCTTCTTTTCGTCTTTTCTTTCTTCTATGTCATTTTTTCTTCTTTTCGTCTTTTTCTTTCTTCTATGTTATTTTCTTCTTTTCTTCTTTTTTTTCTTCTGTCATTTTCTTCTTTTTTTCTTTTTCTTTCTTCTATTCATTTTTCTTCTTTTCGTTTTTTTCTTTCTTCTATGTCATTTTTCTTCTTTTTTTTCTTTTCTTTTTTCTTTTTTTTCTTTTTTTTCTTTCTTTTTCTTTTTTTTTTCTTCTTTTCGTCTTTTCTTTCTTCTATGTCATTTTTTTCTTTTTTCTTTTTTTTCTTCTATGTCATTTTTCTTCTTTTTCTTTTTTTTCTTTCTTCTATGTCATTTTTCTTCTTTTTGTCTTTTTCTTTCTTCTATGTCATTTTTCTTCTTTTTTTTTTTTCTTTCTTCTATGTCATTTTTCTTCTTTTTTTCTTTTTTTCTTCTATGTTTTTTCTTCTTTTTTTTTTCTTTCTTCTATGTCATTTTTCTTCTTTTTTTTTTTTCTTTCTTCTATGTCATTTTTCTTTTTTTTTTTTTTTCTTTCTTCTATGTCATTTTTCTTTTTTTTTTTTTTCTTTCTTCTATGTCATTTTCTTCTTTTTTTCGTCTTTTCTTTCTTCTATAATTTTTTTCTTCTTTTTTTTTTTTTCTTTCTTCTATGTCATTTTTTCTTCTTTTTTTCTTTTTTCTTTCTTCTATGTCATTTTTCTTCTTTTTCGTCTTTTTCTTTCTTCTATGTCATTTTTTTTCTTCTTTTTTCTTTTTTTTTTTTCTCTTTTTTTTCTTTTATTTTTTTTTTTCTTCTTTTTTCTTTTTTCTTTCTTCTATGTCATTTTTCTCTTTTTTTTTTTTTTCTTTCTTCTATGTCATTTTTCTTCTTTTTTTCTTTTCTTTCTTCTATGTCATTTTTTCTTTTTTTCGTTTTCTTTTTTTATGTCATTTTTTTTTTTTTTTTTTTTCTTCTTCTATGTCATTTTCTTCTTTATGTCATTTTCTTCTATGTCATTTTTCTTCTTTTTTCTTTTCTTCTATGTCATTTTTTCTTCTTTTTCGTCTTTTTTCTTTCTTATGTCATTTTTCTTCTTTTTCGTCTTTTTTCTTTCTTCTATGTCATTTTTCTTCTTTTTCGTCTTTTTCTTTCTTCTATGTCATTTTTCTTCTTTTTCTTCTTTTTCTTTCTTCTATGTCATTTTTCTTCTTTTTTTTCTTTTTCTTTCTTCTATGTCATTTTTCTTCTTTTTTTTCTTTTTCTTTCTTCTATGTCATTTTTCTTCTTTTTTTCTTTTTCTTTCTTCTATGTCATTTTTCTTCTTTTTCGTCTTTTTCTTTCTTCTATGTCATTTTCTCTTTTTTTTTCGTTTTCTTTCTTTTATGTCATTTTTCTTCTTTTTTTCTTTTTCTTTCTTCTATGTCATTTTTCTTCTTTTTCGTCTTTTTCTTTCTTCTATTTCATTTTTCTTCTTTTTCTTTCTTCTATGTCATTTTTCTTCTTTTTCGTCTTTTTCTTTCTTCTCTGTTTAATTTACTTTTAATTCTCCCATTCCTTCCTTCTTTTTCTTTCTTCCTTATCTTCTTTTTTCCTTATAATTTTCTCACTCTTTCCTTATTTTTTTCTTTCTTCAATGTCTTTTTCTTCTTTTGAATATCTCACTCCTTCTTTCCTCTTTTTTTTTTTTTTGCTTCTGTCTCTTTTTTTCTTTTAACTTCTTTATTCTTCCTATTTTTCTTTCTTCCAGATTTGTCTCTTCTCTTTCTTTTTCTTTTTTTCTTTTCTTTTCTTTTACTTCCTTCTATGTCTTCTTACTTCTTTAACATTTTCTTCTTGGCTATGTTTTTCTTTCAATCTAGTTTCTTCCGGGTTTTTTCGGTTGTTTCATTTTCTATTTTTTTTTCTTTTTTAATCGTTATCCGTTAAACTTAGTTATTTTTTTTTATATTTGTTTCCTTATTATTTCTCCCCACCCCCACACATACCAAGATTTGTCTTTCTTCTGGTACCATTTTCTCCCTATCTTTCACTCCCTCTCGTTTTCTTCTGCGTCTTACAACCTTCTCGTTTATACAGGTTCATCTTTCTATTTTTTTTAGCCGAAACAACTTTATATTTCTGCTTTTCCCCGCTTTTCTTAAGTCTAGTCATTTTATAGATTTGCCTGTTCTGCCCTTATTACTTCTGCTAGCGTCTTTCTTTCTATTTGTAAATAGAGTCAAACTAACAAGTCATAAACTCATCAAACATGATCTTTTTTTTCTTTCATGCCATCAATAACAATTACGGAAATACTTCTTTCCCTTCTCATCATTGACCTTTTCAAACAAGATCAGCTTGCTTCCGTCTCTAACCTGAACTGGGGAACAAGATTAACGGAATACATATATATATATATATATATATATATATATATATATATATATATATATATATATATATATATATATATATATATGAATATATGAATGTGTGCGTTTGCCGAGGTTGATGGGAGCAGTAATTAGGTGTATTTCGTTGCGGATGTCGTATTGCCTATTTACAATATTGCATTTTTGAGAATAAGGAAATTCTTGAGTATGTTTAGGATAATGAATATGCGCTTGCAACGAGCATCTCTCAGACCATTTATGTTACATATTTTTATTCTATGTTCCGTGTCAATTAAGGACGTGGGAGATCACGGTGCTCCACAATTTCTTATCTTTGTAAATCTTAATAAAGTTTGTCTTTTGGCAATTTCTCGTAATGTCTTTTCAGCCAACCATTTTCGCAAGCTCGTTCTTCTTCTTCTTCTACTACTACTACTACTACTACTACTACTACTTTTATCTTCTTCTTCTTCTTCTTCTTCTTCTTCTTCTTATTATTATTATTATTATTATTATTATTATTATTATTATATGCCGTCCGGTTAGGTTGTGGGCGATCATGGAGCTCCACCTATCTTCTGTCTTTGAAGCATTAACGTTTATATTTTTGCTATCCCTCCTAATCTCTATTCTGCTAACCATTTAACCAAGCTCGTTATTTTCATTATTCTATGTGCCGTGGCGATCATGACTCTTCGCACTTTCCTGTCCTTTTTAGACCTTAGTAAATGTTGGCCTCTTGTTTTCTTCCCTGAACCATAGTTCGCTAGGTAGGTTATGCGTTGCCTTCACTATGAACTGTACGTGTCAAAGTTTCCTCTACCATAGAAATTTCAACTGTTTATTCCTGATGTTAAGTATGTTTCCTTTTTGCTTCCCTCATCGTATTAGCAGGGGCACATCCTCTAGCAGGTCTGGAAGTGTGTTCGAAATAAAGACCCTGTAGACAGCTTCTGTAAGACGTACTGGGAGAACATATGGACCTACCAGGCAGTCACCTACATTTCTAGCCCACACATTAATCGTAAACTGATGCCTGTACTGTACCATGGGGATACCGATCAGCCCACAAATGTTGGTTGGGTAAATTTGTTATTCCATCCCTTCCAAATGTTTCCTCATCCGTAAACAAGACTGAAGGGACAAACAAGGTATCGGCAGTTTGTACAATAAATCATTGGGTGAAAGACCCTGAACACGTTGTAAATGATACGCATACAGGAGCTTCCTAAAAGTACCGTCCATGTGGTACGATGAGATGTATGACATGCTAGGTCCACTTGACGTGTGCTGATACCAGGATTCTCTCAGACAACTTGCAAAATGTGTTTTTCGTGGTCAGGCTGATGAGCGGATCTCGGTCTTTCTCGATTCATAGTCCATCGTCCTACAGATCCTGTCCCAGAAACGGGACGATAAATAGCAGCAAAGTTTGGATGACTCCACTGCCTTTGGCCTGGAAACGCAGTTTGATACAACCGGGCAGCCTCACGTCCATTACCATCGCGCGACTGTATGTAACATTTATATCTTCCTGCTCACGATCTGAATATCCTACCATTGTTAAACGGGACACTTCTCAGTTAAGTCACTAGTACACACGATAACGTTGAAAACAACCACAAATGTACTCGAATGACAAATGTAACCTAGTCTAAAGCGCCATCTAAATATTCTTTAAACTTAATAACTCAAAAACGAAAGGAATTCGTCTTTTATAGATGTTTCATTAAAAACGACTGAAAAGGTATTGTAGTGTTTTTAGTTTTTCTTGTGTTCTTATATTTTTCTTCTCTTTTGGACATAAATTATGTAGAAATTGTCCGAATATTCTGTATGTCCGAGCGCTTTTGTCTATGCTTTTAGGTATTTTCTTTCTTTTTTTTTTAAGCGTTTCACCCCAAGCAAGGCAGGAAGCCACTAGGACGCAAGGGTTTACAGAAAATTTAGAGCAAGATCAGATAGGAGTGATAGAAGAAAGGATGAGGAGGAGGGTAGTGGAAAGATCAAGGCAACTGGAGATATCGATTAGCATTACACTTAAAAAGCTGGAGATTATAGCTCTCAGGGAAACTGGAATAGGGAAGGGAGTTCCACAGGCGAGACGTGCGAGACATGAAGCTATTGGAGTAGAAGAGACGGCTACATTTAGGAGTTTGAAGACAGTTAGGACAGTGAAGGGGTGAGAGCGGGATGCCAGCCTCGTATGTCGCTTGAACTCATGACGTCTGGGAAACAGCGAATGCAGCTCCTCGGAGCAATTACCATGAAAGTATTTGTAGAACAGACAGAGGGAGGCGACGGCGTGTCTGTGAGAAAGTGACTGTAGACGAGATGCCAGAGCAGGGCCAACTACATTACCAAGGATAATTTTATTTTTACTTTTAAGTGAATCTATAGATCGTTTTATGTATGCATCTAGAGTTATAGGAATGTTCTATTTTACAAAAACTCTCAACACATTGAGTGTTGACATTTTATTTTTTATTAATAATACTTTATTTTTTTAGCCTTTTTTTACATGTGGTTGAGACTATTTTATTTGTATTATCAACGAGTATATTGTGGATAGAGTTTGGTAGGTTTCCACGTGTATTAAAATGAAACCTAATTGAGCTATGATCAGTCGTTTTTAATGAAAGTCTCTTCTCTACTTCCCTAAGTATGGGTTAAATAACAGGAGAGAATAAGTCCTCTACGCTTGGTTACTGAAGAAAAGCTCTGAATTCAACATATAGAGGTCAGTTTAGAGGTTTGTGTCACACTGTGCAGCATTTCTTTTTTATCAGTATTTTTAGAAAATTGTGCCTGGTTCTGCATAAGCTTTCACTAGGATAATCAAAACATATATGAAAGTAGTCTGTTAATTTACTTGTTAAATAAGTACGTTCTGTTGGACGTCGAAATCCAATACGTCGAAATCTACTGGAGGATTCATTATATTTAACGGGTGTATTTAGGGAGCAAAGATTTCTCTAGACACGCGAATAAGATCCGTGACGAAAAATCTATTTTCATTGCATATAAAAGTTAATTATTTTATCTTTAACACCACATCATTCGACAGAAGTAAGAAATGGGGAACATTTCGATTTTGGAAGGCTTTAATCTAATAAATCGGAAAGGAATCTTTTTGTGTCTGGAATCTTTTGGTCATTCTTAATAATTCTAACAACTAAAATCAGGAAGATATTTGAAAACATTATTTAACCGTAATTTACTAACTAAAAAATAACAATTTATTACAGAAATGCATTTAAAGTATTCTATAATTAATATCTCGATAACTTAATTTATTAAAAATCTTCTTTAAAAAATTATAGAAATATTTTAAAATGAAATGTGCTCCGTTCGTAAAAGATATTTGACCATTAAAGGTATAAATAGCACCAAAGATGAAAGCCCATTGCAATACATCTAGATCCAAGAGCTTTTCACTTCTTAAGCGAAACTACTTTGATTGGTTATGTCTTCAGAGGTGTAGCCCTACTCACTGTGCTTGCCCGATTGTTGGTTGTTGAGGTTATTTAACACATACCTAGAGGTTTTATAATCCAGAGTTGCCAGCCTGTTTACGGTATAATAATAGATATCAACTCGGATTGAAGAATCTGAGAGTCCAGTTCGAATTCCAGTCGAGTTAATTACTTGATAATAACCTTGGGAAAAAATTTGATTCCAACTCTTCTCCCCCACCCCACCCCGACAGTTATAGGTAAATATTAGAATAGACTGGATTCCATAACATTGGATGGCAACCGGTCCAGGAGAATTTAAAACGCTATGTAGGCCTGGCGAAGCATATAATATGCAATTAAGGAAAGAATCGTTCGCATTAACTCGATGTTCCCAACTACGGTCGAATCCTTTTTGTTTTGTTTTTTTTTTTTTTTTTTTTTTTACTTTTTTAAAACGTTATTTTCCTTTAGAATTAAAATCATTTTAAGCAAAATCAATAATAAGTATACAGCTAGGTTTGAAAATTTGTTATACATCGGAAAATTTCAACCCGAAAAGTAAAGTAAATTATTTTATTTGCTAACATATTGGTAACAGTCTTATTAAATTATATTGTAGAGCTAAGGTAGATAAAAGATAAATTTTGACGCTAGAAATGTTATATTGATATTTAAAATTTACTTAATCTTCTTCGTCATTTAAAATGCTTCAAAAGTCTTCTTTCATTCGGTTTCAATCACATCGGAACAGCTGTTCTTCCATAACGAGGAAATCGAGATTAGAAACGATTTACAAGACATTCAGGCATAACATTCAATTCTCTTGTGCTAGCATACATATATATAAACACAAACCCCACCACCAGACTTACGGTCTTATCACGTTGAAACAACAGTTTTCGTACGATCACTGTGAAGTTCAGCAACGTCGAGCCTGTTCAGCGCCTACATGGGTGACCACTTGAGAATATCAGGTCTAGTAACCTTGGATGTGCGGGTGGTGTGATGGATAACGGCTCGGAATTGTTAATTCCAGTCGAGTTTATTATATTTACGCGAAAATATCCTTATTGAAGGTATGAATTTAACTCTATTGGTTAATCTGTAGAACTTGTGTCAGGAAATAATTATTATCGCCAAATAAAATTCTTACACTTTAAATTAGGATAGACTTTAAATAAACTTCAAACGGTTGATAAATCGTAAAAAACAAATAAATCCCCCCCCACCAATAATAATAATAATAATAATAATAATAATAATAATAATAATAACAAAACACGAAAAATATAGACAGTTGCCAAAAAGCCGTGGAACTTGTGGAACATGAAGAGGAATGTCACGTCAGTCCAAGCGCTGTGAATAATCCCAAGGAGCCTGTGTGTGTGGGGGGCGGCTATAGCAAGGATTATAACTATATAAAGGAATTATTAACAACAGTTAGAATGCTAACAAACGTACTGGAGTATTGAAGCACATTGCTGACATTTGATCTCTATATGTGACAGGTATGCTGGTATGAACACGCAATGAGAAATATTAAATGAGTCAAGTGGGCACCTCAACATGGTGTAATGGATAGCAAATTTGTTTGGCTAGAACAATTATGACTGGGTAGTAAATTCGATCCTCTCTGGGCGCCCCATATTTTCACCCTTAGGCCTCAGCTATGCTACGCTTAGGAAATCACAATATGATCGGGTAAGTTTTTGAGAAAATAAAACACCATAAATTAAAGAACAACACTCAATAGTCAATATTTCTATTGCAGTAGACAAATTAAAATGGATATTGTGGAAAGCTAGGAAAATATGTAGAGTTTACCAGAAAAGTGAAAACAAATTGTGGAATATATGTGAGATATGACCATCAATATTGTATCGCTTGGATTAGTTACATAGAGTAGAAAATGATTTGAAGCATTATTTGTCTGAATCAAAATTGAAAACTGTCAATAAGAATACAGAGATTTGATATTTAATTTATAGCAATAATAATAAGAAAACACAAATACCGAAAACATCAAATCTAATCAAATATTCAGCTCCTCCAGGAGGTAATTGGAACGAATTGCAGATGAAACATAGACACCGTAATAACAGCCCATAACATCTTGTTTCCTGTTTAGGAGTGGGTTTCCGGTTCCTTCTACTTCAACTCCATACTTCTAACGTCTCCGCCTAAACATTAAACTTAGATTTATTTATTTTTCCTCTATGTGAAAAGATAGGTTAGCCTATCGCCCAGTCCATACTCTACCCCATTCTTTTGAACAGGATTAAAGTTTTATCCCTTTTTCATATTTAGGATTGCGTTTCTGACGCCTCCTAAAGTCTCTT